GCCCTGCCGGCGCCCGGGAGCCTGCGGCACGGGCACCCCGGCCCATCTCCGTGCCAGCCCGGGCGCGGGCCACCTGGGGCCCCGGCACCCTCCGGGCCGCCGCGCTTCTGCTAGTCCACGTTCCCCCGTGCCCCCGGCGCCATCAACTCCGGGGCCTGCGTTCGCGAGTGTAGGAAGCAGCGTGTCGTGCTCCACGGCGGGATTGATGGCAAGCAAAATGGAAATCGAAGTTTTCCTGGAAAGGGAACGAGCCAAATAAAATAACAAGTCAACGTGGGAATAGTGGACTTTGAATTGGCTCTGACGGGGTGGAGCAGCATGGACGTCTGTCAGGAACCTAGGCTAACATTTTTGAAGCAACTGAGAAGATCCACGGGAGGGAAGTTGAAATACTCTTAAGTGACGAATGCGTGTGAGTCTATAAAGTAATTTAAAAGGCAGGGTGGATTTCTCGCCGAGCAGCGGGCGCTGTGAGTCAGGGAGGCATTGTGCTAATAACACAGTAACTCCTTTCTTAGGAGCACACGTTCAGCGCTGCCGCTGCCACCTCCGTGGTGGTAGTCTATGTTCCCGGAATGGTGTTTACGCCCACTTTACAGATGAGGAAACTGAGGCCCGAAGAAGTTGGGTGGCCTTCTCCGAGTTTGGCAGCCCGTGGACAGTGCTGTGGAAGTATGGGGGGCGGGGGAGGATGAGTGAACCAGGGTCTCTGCCCACATTCTTCTAACAGCCCTTAGACACGATCTAGCGATTTCCCCTTGATGTGTCCGGGGAGCTGGCTTCCTTGATTAGAAGGCGGAGGGCAGAGAGAGTCAGATTGCCCTGGTGGCCAACAGAGAAGTGGAACATCGATCCCAGCCCCCTGGGGTCAGTGGCTTTGTTGTGTCATACCCCAGGTAGTTCCTGGAGTCATCGCCCAGTGACCTTATCCATGGCGCTGCCGCAGAACGTTTGGAGGCAGGCCAAGAGGCGTTTTGAGGAAGGGAACAACGGCTAAGGCTGCAGGCCAGGGGTGCAGAGCTGGGCCAGGAAATTTGTGTGAGGTATTGGTACAATTACCAGAGGTTTCACACACACACACACACACACACTGTGGGTGATTGTACCCCAGGCACCCTCGCTGTGAGGCAGCTGTTCTGTAACATTCCCAGTGACCACTCAGTGGACTATGCAAGGGCTGCTTTTTGAGCAGCGGGAGTCTTCAAAGGTTCTCAGGTATCATACTTAAAAAAAAAAAGTATGGGAAAAAGGAGTTGACAATTGTGGGCCTCAAGATGGAAGGTGAAAGGAACCTGGTCATTTTACCCTTCCTTCGTCCCCCACCCCTCCAGCCAGCACAAAACCAGCCCAACACACTCGCACGATCAAAAACAAATATTGAAACTTTGGTTGTGGTTGAGATCAAACAGTGCTGGGGAAATGAAAGTGTGTTTACTCATAAAGCTTAAAGAAAATGTCAGAAAATAATTTTTGTTCAAAGAGAAGGAGCGAGGAGTAGCTTGGGGATTTGGTTGACACGTGGAATGTGTCTTTCCTGTCAGTTCAGCATCTCCCAATAACTGTGCAGTCCGCACTGCTTCTAGGGAAGGACTGCTCTGTAACTCCTATCCTCTGCCGCTTCTACTATAGCCACCCCTGCTATAACATGTGTGAATGTAAACTGGGATGGAGCTAAGGGCTGGGTAAGCAGTTCAGACAAGAAGGTGGAGGGAGCCATTTCCTCCGGCGTTTTATTAATTTTGTGGTTAGGTTGAGAATCTACAGCAAAATAAGCACCACGACCTGTCCAACCAACTTGACACGTACACAGTGTGGTGACATTGGCTCCAGTCTTCAACTCATACAGCCCTCCTCACCTCCTTTCCGGAGTGTTTCCCCCGTGTCACCATGGGCTCACAGCCCTGTGAGGCTCTCGTCTAATCGTTTTAGTTGCTGTTGTCCATTTGATTCCAGAGAGATAGTCTTAAAAGAGCACAGTGGTCAAGGCACACCTTTTTCACTAGTTAAGCTGAAGTGTGAGCTTTTTAAGAAGTCTTTAGAGGGGGGGTTTGGTTTAAGGTTCAGAGATCATCTTAGGGCATTTGCTTTCGAGTGCTCATCTGCCCTGTGGCACCCGAAAGCCTGGAGTCCATGAGAATGTGAAGTTCTGCTCTGCGTTTGCACCCTTGTGATCAGATCAAGCTATGGAATCTTTGATTCAAATGTGGGAGCCATTTTTACCAGAAAGATGAAATGATGCCATCTTTTGGGGGAGTTGCATACAATGGAGGAGGAAGAACCCAAAAAGGGCAGCTAGGAGCATCCCTTGTTATTGCCCCAGACCTTTATCAGGACCCAACTCTGTGGGTCTGACCAGGATTGAAGCAGAATAAACATCCGAGCCTGCTTCTTGCCACATAAGGTGCTTCTCCTCATTCAGATGTTTACTGCTATTTCTTGCTTTTCTCTTGTGAAGTGTTCTCCATTAAAGGTGTGATTCCCCTTGTACGTTTATGTTCACACTCCCCAAGGCATCTCTTTCATACCTTCTTCCTTCTCAGGAGAAGTACCAGGGCTACGCATTGGGCTGTGGTTTGAAGCCACCAGCCGCCCCGGGGGAGAGAGAGGAAGCTTTCTGCTCTCGTGAAGATGTACAGTCGTGATCACCAGCGCCGTCCTCCCTGGTCTTAGAAGAGGGTTGCTGTGCGTCAGCAGTGACTCGATGGCAGTGAGTTGGGGGGTTGTGATTCCTTCTCAGACTTCGTCATCTCATCTTTCAGAAGCATCTAGCTTTTCTTTTCATGGACCAAACAGGAGCCACAGGCCAAGGGCGCCACCTTCGTTTCCCCACACTCCCTATATTCTAACACGGTGACTCTCAACCTTCTGAATGCCGCGACTCTTTAACACAGTCCCTCATGTTGTGGGGACCTCCCAACCATAAAATTATTTTCGTTGCTACTTCATCACTGTCATTTTGCTACTGTTATGAATCGGGTGACCCCTGTGAAAGGATCGTTCGACTCCCAAAGGGGTTGCAACCCACAGATTGAGAACCACAGATCTAAGGGGTTCTGGGTTCTCCATCTGCCTGCTTAGCTGGATGGCCAGTTCCTCTTGTCCTATCCGAGGTCTACACCTCCCAGGGTACCCCCATCCTATCCCCTCTCACCTTCTCAGGGACTGTCTCCCTGCCCTCAGCCCCTGCCCCGTCTCCAGGCCGTTCCCACCAGTATGCAAATATGCTCCAGCGCTGGCCGATGGATCTTTGCGCACAGTTGGTGGCCATGTTCTTTGCCTGCACGGCCCAATCTGGCAGTTACTAAATAGTCACATGTGACTCAAATATGTGACACGTGGCTAGTGTGACTGAGGACCTACCTTTTTAGTGTGGTGTCATTTAAGTTTATATAGCCACAAGTGGCTAGTGGTGACCACCTTGGCCAGCACAGCTTTCTCCCATCTTAAAAAGGAGCTCGTCCTTGGCCCTCTGCCCCCCTCCTGCTACCACCTCCCCTCTTTGACCCCCTTTACTTGAACACATTTCAAAAGAGATGTCTACACCCACTGTCTCCACTGATGTTCCCTTCCCGTTCGCTCACCCTGAACCCTCCACAGTCTGGTTTTTGCGTCTACCGCTCACTGAAACAACCCTCGCAGGCCACCAGTGACCTACACTTTGCCAGAGCACATCACTGCCTCTGTCTGCCCACCTGTCCACAGCACTCCACACCAATGGCCACGCACACCCCGTCCTTGAAGCAACTCTCACCCCTCCCTCTCCTGGTGTCCATCTCCTTCCTGTGTGACGGCCGCTTCTCCTCCGTCTGACTTCGGAACGATGAGGCTCCTGGGGGATAGCTTCTGGTTCCTTGTGTGATGATCACTCTCTTCCCCATCCCGTGCCTTTAAATGTCCCAGATATGCTGGTGGCTCCCAAACTGTTAACGACAGCCCTTTCTCTGGGCTTCTGGCTCATGCCCTGTCGGTGTAGCTCTTGGTGGTCCTTCCACGTCTCACCTTTCCTGTCTCCCCTATTGTAGCTGGTGGCACCCCTTTACACTCCTGTGCTCCTTGACCTCCTCATCCAGGCTGCCCGTTGGCCCTGTGGGTTCTGCTTCTGGAATCTACCTGGAATTCATAACCTCACCCCATCATCACGGCTTCCACCAGAGACCTGGCTACCATCTCCCTTTTCCTGGGGGAACTCCCAGACACCCCCCCTCTGCTGCTACTCTCATGTGCTGCTAGTCTGTGCGTTCTCCATACAGGAACCCGAACGGCCAGCTTGTAAGTGATTATCTCTCTCCCTCCCTCTCTCTTTAGAATCAATTTGTAGAAGTGGGACTTGTTTCCCTCCCCGTCTTATAAAACTGTTGTTGACAGGTGCCCTGGAGCCAGTACCGACCCCTAGCAGCCCTATGGACCCCAGAACAAACCGCCTGGCCCCCCATGTCCTCACAGCGCTGGCTGCTTCTGAGCCCATTGTTACAGCCGCTCTGTTACTTTGTCTCACCAGGGACTTCCTCTTTTTCCTTGACCCTCCACTCTACAGAGCATGATGGCAGCAAGTGACGGTCCGGCCAGCCTTGTTTCATTCACCTCGTTAGGGTTGGCTGTGCTTTGAGGAGGCAGACCTTCCCCAGTCATAGTTTGAGTGCCTTCCAACTGAGGGGCTCATCGTCCGACGCCCTGTCAACAGGGTTCCGCTGCTGTTTGTAAGGGTTTCAGGATCTGCCTTTTCCTTCTTCCTAGTCTGCCTTAGTCTGGAAGCTCCGCTGACACCTGCGCGTCATGAGTGACCCTCCTGATCCTCGAAACATCAGGGGCACAGCTCCCGGCATCTCGGACAAACTAAAGCTGGTGGTCATTTTTAAAAAGTTAGTAGACTTAATTTTTGAGAGCAGACTTTAGGTTTACTGGATATTTACACCGAAGGTACATGTAATCCTCCCCAAGCCCCGACTCCGCTTTCTCTTATCTTACACTGGTGTGCTATATTCCTTACAATGGATGACCGAACAGGGATACATTCTTGTTAACCAAAGTCCATGGTATGGCGTCTTAGTGGTGTGATGAGCTCAGCATTGGGTGGCTAACAGCAAGGTCAGCAGTTTGAAACCACCAGCCGATCCAAGGGAGTAAGATGAGATTTTCTACCCCTGTAAAGATTTACAGTCTCTGAAGCCCCCGTGGGCAGTTCTACTGTCCTATCTGGTCACGATGAGTCGGAATGGACTCAATGTCAGTGAATTCAGAGTTTGGGTTTAGAAAGCCCATAACGAGTTCATTCACACTCGACATTGTACCCTCTCTTGGGTTTGTAATGAGTGCAGTATGTCACCTACCCACTGCATCAGGATCAAACAGAATGAGTACACACAAATCCGATCACGTCACTCTGGCCTCTCCAAATTCGCCAGCCACTTTGTG